CTTCCTGTCAGTTGGGGATAGGAGATGATGTAGGGGCCTTCGGTATGGTCTTGGGGTCTTGCTGTTCCCCTATTCTATGGTAACAAAATTCTGATAGCGTTCAAGCCATCACTTCAAAAGGTTGACCTCCAGCTGTCATGAATTATGAGGTCCATAACATGTAAGCGAGGCTGGGTTGTGCAGCTGTTACCTCATAGGTAATTTTTACCTTGGACTCGACCGAACTGCCCCGTGTAGTCGGACAATGTACATATTTTTGTTTGCATAGGTGACGTGCACAGCTTGCAAGCGGTGTGAGAAACGTCTGGGAAAAAAAGGAAGCGAAAAGCTCACCTAAATTTTGTTTTCAGTGCCTATGAAATTATCAAACTGAAGGGCTATACCTCATGGGCAATTGGATTGTCCGTGGCGAAGATTGTTCAAGCGATTATGGCCAATTCTCGAAATGTTTTCGCGCTGTCTACAAATGTTAAGGTAGGAAACCCATCTCTTACTGTGAATAATGTTCAATGAGAATCAAAAACGGTAATTGTAGGGCTTCCATGGAATCGAGAACGAAGTGTACCTTTCGCTACCGGTTGTGCTTGGATCAAATGGCATCACACACGTAGTCAAGCAGAATTTAAATGAGGGCGAAGTCCAGAAATTACACAAGAGCGCCGAGGCACTTCTCGCAGTTCAGAATGGTCTCGTTATTTGATGATCTCCAAAATGGCATCAAAAGTGTTCTTCTCGCAGTTCAGAATGGTCTCGTTATTTGATGATCTCCAAAATGGCATCAAAAGTGTCTGTGAAACGTGTTTTGTGAAGTCGTAGCTGAAGGTATATTAATAAGGTACTGAAGGCACAGTTTGCAATAATTTCATTCACCTTTTTTGGCATAGTCATGGGTGGACGAGATTTTGACGATAAAGCTGGACGAGATTTCAACCACAGCAGTGCAACTGTTAGCTATTGCGCGTAAGCTGACCATAGTGCAGTAAGCGCGCTCTTGTTTGATTGATATCACTCGCTGAACTCGTCTTTTTGAAAATTTGAGCGGCAGTGTACCACAAGACCCTTATTGCACACCATTCAGGCAGCTTTTCGTTACCAGAATGTCTTAGGGATACCTATTAAGGGATTCAAGGTATAGGTTCCTCCGAAACGACTTTTATCGCAAGCTGTGCATTTAGACTCGATCACCAGATCGTTAATCTGATCAAAATTCAGTTGCATAATATCTGTTAGATTTAATAAAGTAGTGTTTACACCCGAGAGTTGACCGTCCAGTGATGCAACGTTTCAATTGGTACAAGTCTTTCCTTTTAAGGTCACTTCGATATCGTGAACAGAAACAATCTTGGAATGCTAGTCGGATCGCCCGTTCTAACGCCTGGCTCTCCTTTTTTTCATTTTAAACTCATTTTCCTTTTTCCTGTTAACTCATCCCTAACAAATTTGGATGCTTTGGTACCATATACATAGTAGA